CAGGAATTTCTTGGAAAAATTCCCGGAATTTCTCACCCTTCATTCCTGGGAAAATTCCTGGAAAAATTCCTGGAAAAATTCCAGGCATTCCTGGGAAAAAGTCCAGGAATTTCTCAGCCTTCATTCCTGGAAAAAATTCCAGGAGTTCCTGGAAAAATTCCTGGGAAAATTCCAGGATTTCTGGGGAAAATCCCAGGAATTTCTTATCCTTCATTCCTGGAAAAATTCCAGGAATTCCTGGGAAAAATCCGCGGAATTTCTCAGCCTTCGTTCCTGGAAAAATTCCAGGAGTTCCTGGGAAAATTCCTGGGAAAATTCCTGGAAAAATTCAAGGATTTCTGGGAAAAAATGCCAGGAATTCCTCAGCCTTCATTCCTGGAAAAATTCCAGGATTTCTGGGAAAAATTCCTGGAATGTCTTATCCTTCATTCCTGGAAAAATTCCAGGAGTTCCTGGGAAAATTCCCGGAAAAAATTCCTCACCATTCCTGGAAAAATTCCAGGATTTCCTGGGGAAAATCCCTGGAATTTCTCAGCCTTCATTCCTGGAAAAAAATTCCTGGAATTCTTGGAAAAATTCCAGGAATTTCTCACCCTTTGTTCCTGGAAAAATTCCAGGAATTCCTGGGAAAATTCCCGGAAAAAATTCCTCACCATTCCTGGAAAAATTCCAGGATTTCCTGGGGAAAAAAAACGGAATTTCTCAGTCTTCTTTCCAGGAAAAATTCCAGGAATTCCTGGGAAAATTCCCAGAAAAAATTCCTCACCATTCCTGGAAAAATTCCAGGATTTCCTGGGGAAAATCCCTGGAATTTCTCAGCATTCATTCCTGGATAAATTCCTGGAGTTCCTGGAAAAATTCCTGGAAAAATTCCTGGAAAAATTCCAGGCATTCCTGGGAAAAATTCCAGGAATTTCTCAGCCTTCATTTCTGGAAAAATTCCAGGAATTCCTGGGAAAATTCCTGGAAAATTTCCTGGAATTCTTTAGCCTTCATTCCTGGAAAAAATCCAGGAATTCCTGGGAAAATCCCCGGAATTTCGCAGCCTTCATTCCTGGAAAAATTCCAGGAATTTCTTGGAAAAATTCCAGGAATTTCTTAGTCTTCAATCCTGGAAAAATTCCAGGAGTTTCTGGAAAAATTCCTGGAAAAATTCCTGGAAAAATTCAAGGATTTCCTGGGAAAAAAAAACCGGAATTTCTCAGCCTTCATTCCTGGAAAAAATTCCAGGAGTTCCTGGGAAAATTCCCGGAAAAAATTCCTCACCATTCCTGGAAAAATTCCAGGATTTCCTGGGAAAAATCCCCGGAATTTCTCAGCCTTCGTTCCTGGAAAAATTCCCAAAATTCCTCTCCTTCCTTCCTGTAAAAAATCCCAGGAATCCCTGGAAAAATTCCAGGAGTTCCTGGGAAAAATCCCCGGAGTTTCTCAGCCTTCAATCCCGGAAAAAATCCCAGGCATCCCTGGGAAAATTCCCGGGAATTCCTCACCCTTCCT